CCCCAGACTCTAAGCCAAGCATCGCGGCTAATTTACATAACAATACATCTTATTTGCATAATTTTGTTTGCATAATAATTAGTTTCCCCAACAAACATTATAACTGAAATAAAGAAGAGATACATATCTCGTATATTTTTTATACGATTACCAAATACAACAAAATGGCCGCCAGTCATTACCAAATATTATCTTCAATAAAGCCTATACTAAGTATACAGTGTCTTCCCTGCTATTCCTGGGTATGTGACTGTAATAATCAAAGTCTATACTCAGTATACAGTGAGTACACTTCAATTTCAGGGCAGCTGATTCTAGTCGCCTTTACTCAGTAAACAGTGCATACACTGCAATTCCTGGGAATGTGACTGTAATAGCAAAAACACTAAATTACCAATGTACAGTATACATTTCAAGGACATCCTGCTGTAATGAATAATAAAAAATAATAATCATAATGGGACAGTTATGAGCATTTGTTCCAAGGACAACTGACGATAATTATTGAAGTTAGAAAGGGATCAGAAATAAAACGTCACCTTTACAATTCATTCATTTGTTGTGTTCTTGTAGTTTACAATATGTAACTTGTAACTTGATCGTAATTGTAAATATTCCAAGAAATGTAGTCACGTATTCTGAGCTGAACTGTGTCTGAACTGTATAGATGTCGTAAAACAAGCTGCGTTCAACTCTGTACTACCGACCCTTGTACAGATTTAATGCTAATGGATAGTAAATACCTACTACAAATCATGTTTCGATGGCTAAATATGTACTACTACTGTAATAGAAGATTTTCCGTTCACTGTGAGATCTTAGTATTTGAAAAGCACAGATTTAAATCAGATTCAAAAATCATGATTTGATTTTGATTGAATTTCTTTTCTTTATAGCTGAATGTTATACTGCTGATCTTTCAGAAGGGAATATTTCATTGACATGCCCTTACTTCATCAAAATTGTACATATACAAATGTATAAATCACATGTAAATACCCAAAAATACTTTCGCATTTTCCCACGCTTCGTTTTGATGATGCCACATGGTTGCCCTGTTTATACATGTATGTTCGATTTCATACATCATGTAGGATCTGGCAGTAAGCAGAAAATGGCATATTCATGATTGTGCTGTGATTGATGATTCTCAAATGAAGGCCTCGGGACATCATATTTGTATATGTACTTGACAAAGGTTGAAAGATCAAACACAGAAATTCCTCTAAGCCAACTAAGAATCTGTTCTACATCGAATGACATACCTGACTGTGTGCATGTCTGTTATCTTGCTAACCTTACTGAATAATCTTAATTGTAAAAACATACTGCTCACCTGACACCATTGTGTAACCCCACTTAAAAGAGATGGTGATCCTATTATAAGAGGGCAACCATGGTCATCATGTTATATCTCAATATGTGTGTTTGCAAAGTGTATACGTGTCTGTAGTAATTTACTCTGGGTATTGTTGTATAATTGGTGTATGACTAATACTGCATGTGCATTTACTGCCTACACTGTCAATTTGAGTAAATCCAGTCATAATAAATGTTTCAAAATCTGGACAAACTAAGATTTTTTTTTTTTGTGGTATTACATGTGGATAACCTTAATTGCCAGTAATGTACATGTATGTGTAAATGAAAAAGATATGTCTGTGGTCAAAATAAGTTATACATGTACCGTAAAATCTCGCACCCATTCTTTTTCAAAAATTGAGAACCAAAAATTCATCATTTCTCATATGTGTAGATGCTCTAAAAGAATCCAGATCCCCTGTGTTGCATTGTACCATTTTAATAGAAGCCTCAGCTTCTAATACAGATTTTACAGTATTTAAATGATCTGGTACATGTACAGTAAATACAGTGTTTTGATAGCCATGTAATGCTTGAGATTGTTTTGCTGTTAAGAGTAAAATATGGTGTTGGGTAGGGTTAATGACATGTGTGCACCAATGATCTATCCCAATGACCTTTGGGAATAGAACGCAAATTATATCGCAGTGCACAGTGATAGAGGGACTATGCAGAGTGCAAGCATATTGTTACCAATATGTACATTTGTACATGTAATGCTTTGTGAGGTGAGAGTACAGATAACATGTCTTTGTATCTATCAGGTCATTTTTGATAATTATGAATTGTAAAAATTTGGAAATACTGTGTCATTAATATTAAATGTATGGTTAATAGACATTACATGTACATGTTGTACATTGGTTTTGTCTTCCGGTATTTTCACAATGTCATAACATTTGTCACTAAAATTATTTTGCAACATATCTAACCCTTGCCAATTGTTCAAAAACACACACACATGTAACAGTACGGCACTTGTCTATTCGTCTATATATCTACCGGTATATCTCATCTTTTTGCGTTCCCATCTTAAATGGCCCATTTATCACATTCACATTACACATTGTGAAATTGTGCATTTCACCCCACAAACATCAGGGATCAATTGACTAGCTCAGCTATGCCAATTTTATTTTTTATGAGATCTTTTTTTTTTTTTTTTAAATGAATAAACGCAAGAAATTGTAAAAGTCAGACTGCGATACATGTATGTGTTTCCCCAGAGTAAGTTCAGATCGTCACTGCGATGTTTAAAATGTGTGATGTAAATGTGCCTACATGTAGGATTCAAGCACAGTAAATGCGCGCCCTGATGAATGTGTAATGGAAATGTAGAAATA